CTAGTGATGCTTCAGTTATGGGGCCACTGGTTCTTGTGGGCTGAAGGTTTTTCCTACGAGCCTGCTGGGCTGGGGCTCTGGGGAGCCAGGCTCAGCTGTGCGACCCAAGTGCCCACAGTCCAGAGCTCCACGGATTGAGTGGGCTCGGTGGGCTCAGTGAGGAACAGTTAGAAACCGACTGAAGGACTTACCTTCTAGTTCCTGCACCCTCAGTTTGCGGATGGCAGCTCTGATTAGCTTCCTCTCCTCGTACTCACTGGCTCCATGCAGCTGCGCCAAGACAGATGGTTAACTATGTTCACCTTAATAACATCACTTGATTAAACTGCTTGGATAACGGCTACTTAACAATACAGTAAGAAAACCTACTCTTCACACATATAAAATAGAAGGTGCTATTATCAAATACTTAAATGAAGATAAAGATAACATACTTTAAGGATATCTAATGGAGATATCTTTAAGGGAGACAAGTGCACAGTACAAAGCCTTCCTTCAGCATAACGTCTTTACCAAACGAGTCCCTTTCTTTCACATCCTTTCAGTAAGTTATTAGTTTGAAGATCTGAGGAGCACTGTGCAGCTGTGTTAACGGGGGGCGAGACGAGACCATCGTTGCTCACCAGGGTGGTCAGCTCGTCGATGTCCTGGATGGCCTGCAGCTTGCTGGACAGCAGCTCCAGGTGATGGCTCTGATCACACAGCACCTGCTGAGACCTTGCGCAGAGAGACAGGAAGACAGGGCTGGGTTCAGAGTGCTACAAGACAAGACGTGCTCTCAGCACCAGGGGTGTGGAATTAGACTGACTTTTCAGATCAGTTTGAAAACTTCACGTTTTTCTGAATCGCAGGGTCTTGCACTCAGGACACCAGGTGCACATGAACAGGGAGCGCTGTGCGGGAAATATGTCGTAAAGGACAGTTATTACTGGTCATCTAAATGCTTGCAGACCAGAACCAAGTGAGTCACAAATTGTAATCCAGATTATTCAACTTCTTAGACTGTGGCTTCTGGTGCCTAGCTAAGAGCTGTAGAGCAAGCCAAGCAACCCTGGGACTGTGTGGACGCATTCAAGTGCAAGAGAACAAGGAGCAATGATCCACGACATCACCTGGCTGTCCACAGTCCCTGGCAGCCCAACAGGGGAGCTCCACCGTCGTGCATGTGCAAGGTGAAGATCAGGCTGCGGTGATCAACTTGACTGAAACCCGTTATTTACAGGCCTCCAGCCCACAATCCAACCACTTTCATTGCCTCTGTAAAGCACAGCCAGGCTGTGACAGGCCTATTGCTTTAAATCAACCAGCTCTAGTTCCCGAGAGCCCCAGACCCGCAGGTTCTATAGGCAGCCTTTAAATCAGCTGGACCAAACAGACAGGTGGTGTGTTCAATTGAGCAATTTAGAGATCCTTTGGTTCCAAACCCGGAGTGTCATTTAGCCAACAAGAACCAGTGTTACATTCCCTGAAACATTACTTGCTTGACTGATCAACTTCTTAAACAAGTGTTCCTAATCGGGAACGTGAGGGAGACCTACAGTACAAGAATAACAGCACTGGGGCTCTCTTAAACCACGGACTGAGACCCCCCATCCGGTTTCAACAAATTTCAAAACCAAAACTTAAGGTAGAGATGAAATCCAGAGCTGGCTTTCACTGTCAACACCCTGGTCCTTGTGTTGTAAGTGAGCGAGCCTTCACAGCGAGATCTGACAGAACCGAATTTCCAACAAAGCTCTGGCATTGATTTGCATGGGACTTCTAAAACAACATTACAGTTGTTTTGAGAACCAAAAACCTTTAAAACAACCAAGTAAAAAGAGCTTCTTGTAGCCTTTCTGCAATCTAAAGCTGATGTAATACGTGAAGGGATGAGAAGAGTCAACACTACACAGAGCTGGAGAGACACAGATGTGCACAGAAAGGCCCCTCTCTGGGCTACTGAAGCACCAGGGCATGTGACTAGCTGACAGCAGTAACCCAAGCCGCCAGATGGCTTTTCTTGGCTGGAAAAAAAGAGCTTTGAAGAAAAATAGTTTTTTTTTTTTAAAAAAAGTTTTCCACAAAAAGCATGGAAAATCTGAGCCTCAGACAGGCACTTATAGTGACGTGAAGTACTACTTGGCAGGATTACTCTCTGGGGTTCCAGCGCGTGGAGTATTGATGGGAATATCCGACATTCCTGCGGCACACCGAGGCCTGCCACGCAGCCGGCCGGATCGAGCACACGGCCGCGCGAGAACTCACAGCCCTCAGACCAGCAGTCACCCCTGTGGACCTGCCAAACACCAGCCGGAGGACACAGGCGGACAATACGAGGAGGCTTATTGAAGTCCGAGAGCAAGAGGCACTTCTTCACGCAAAGGGTTGTGAAGACACTCGGGGCTCTTTCAGAAACCGATTAAGAGAGATCCTTAGATCAATTGGCTACCAACTACTAAATAAGCTAGACGGGCCAAATCCAGTCATTTGTAATCATTCTTGTGTTCTCATGTTCACATTAAATTAATTCTGTAACTCCATGTAGCTTCAAATCGACAAATGTACGCAGGACTCCTTACAAGAGTATCTGTGCAGAGTTCAATGTTTAGTGTTATTTCTCTACCACGGCTCCAAATGTGTTAACTTAAAGCTAACGCAGAGTTTTAAAAGCTTGTACTAACACCACTCTTACTGTCGACACAGGTCATCCACATGTTTCTACTGTGTAATGATTGAAACAATAATGGGTCAGAATCAAATTTGTTCATCACTTCCTTCAAAGCAGATAAACAACGGTAATGGTTTTGGACGAGCCAATAGAGAGGCTTGCAGATACAAACTCTGCAGACACACAGAGAGAACGAGGACGTGTAAGCAGACTCCTTGCAGAAGCCCCTCTTCCAGCAGACACCCAGGAGTCTCCTCTTGGCAGTGCTCAGGAATGTGTGCCACCCCTGAGGCAGGAACTGTAGGCGCCAGGAACACAGAGCTCAGCCTTTTCCAGCTGCCTCAGCCACTGTACCAGCCTGCGCCACAGAGGCAAATACGACTTTTTGTCCAAAAACAATTTAACCCACGAGGGTTAGTGGGGCCTCTATATCATCACCTACAGGATGTCATGCCATTTGTCCGATTATTTTGGGTTTCAGGCATTTCATGCTGGAGCTGAAACCCAGCCGCCCATGAAAACACGAATCTCCAAGATTCTACTTCAACAACACGCGTTGCAAAGGAAAGGAAGCTACACGTCTCTAGTCACAAACTGTGTGCCTTTCCCTGAAATACATATCTATTAAACCTGGCACCAGTGCTGCTTTAGATTAGTGAGCAAAGCCAAAACAGGTTAGTTCAGAAAAAACACTTCTACACAACTACTGAACACCGTCTGGTCCAGCTGCTGCGCTCCAAGCTGGAGCCAAGCATGTGGGGTCAATGCTCAAGGTCTGCTCAGCTCCACCCTGGACCAGCCACAGCAGTGCAGCTACAGCTACAGTTACACAGACTATCAGGGGAGGTTCCTCCGCAGCAGGGCTGCTCGTTCCCAGCCATCGGAAGAAATTACTTTTCCAGGCTGTTGAGCTATGAAAGTCAGACGTGCCAGAAAGAGACAGACTATACCCATGTGTAGTCCAACAGAATACAAGACATTAAATTTAACTGAATTAATTTTTACTTCACTAAGACAATATTGCATCTAACAGAAAATGTGTGCTCATAAGCAGATTGTAAAAGTATCATGCATGAGCAGCTAAAAAACATAAAACATTCCTTCTATATCAAAAGTAAGGAAATGTCTCAGGAATTACATTTGTGACTGCACTGCAAACAGCTCTGTCCTGCGAGAGCAGGCTATGATGATTAACACCCTCACACTGCCCTTCAATGTGGCCCTATTCCTATACAGGTCACTGCTTGTTTGTCTTGCAAGTCTTGAACCCCATGAACTTTCCTACCACACACAGAACGCATTTACTGCACTTTGCTCATTTGCTAAGCCGTTTTTATCCTTTATTTGCCATTTGAGATTTGACTCAACTGTTCTCCAACTGCCATGTCCCACACGGTCACACTGTGGACAATGGACACAGACTGTGAAAGGACAGCACCCTCCCACTGCCGGCTGTGATCACTCCCCTTCCACTGGAGGATGACCCAGCCAGGCTGAGCTTTAAGAGAGTCGCTCACTAGCCCCCTCAACAGACCCATGTGTCCCAGACACACCTGGGCACTGGCCGCAAAGCTCACCTGAGGCGGTTCTCCTTGTTCTCCGATTGCTCGGGGTCTCTCTCTGCGCGGAAACGCTTCGAGGCCAGGCTGGCCTCCATCTCCTCGATCTCGCGGCGCCGCAGCTCTCGGATGGCGGAGCGGATCACCCTGCGCTCCTCCAGGTCCGAAGTGCCCTCCAGCTGAGGAAACAGGCAGGACGAGGTGAGCAGTCTGGGAGAGCGGGATCCTTCCGCAGGGAAAATCGCCCAGAGCCGGGAACACTACGGGATAGTCGGCTGTGCGGCTCAAGAAAAGTGAACCTTTTACACGGATACTGGTGCACAGAGGGCGATCACAAATGAGATGGCAGGTGAACGTGAAAACCAGTCAGAGCAGATAAAGATTCATGGTCGTCTCCAGAGCCAAACAGGAAACTTCTCCTCCCTAAACACACTCCATGTGACAAACGCCTACACCGTGTGGCAGAGCGTTTTTCTCCTCTCCCACTGCCTGCAATATTCCAATGACAGCTGTAGAGCAGCCTTTGCGCAAAACAATCTGAACCGCTGGGGTGTCTACTGTGACCGTGGTCTTGACCCTTCCTCTCATCCCCCTCCTACTGTAATCAGACTAATACCGATTACGTGGCAGACATATTCGATTTTCTTATTTTTCACAGATGTGCAAGCTGCTGGCCAGGAGGACTATTTCGTTCTCCCTGTGACTGGAGGTACGGTGCTGTAACACAGCAGATCTCTTTCAGCTACAGGCCATGGGAGTCTGTGCGATTTAGCGCTGCACTGCAGGGGCCAGTCAGGGCAGCCTGCAGCCACATGAGAGACGGTGCGTCGATCTGCGTCGGGACAAGTCATTGGAGGAACACTGAAAGCAGGGCTCCGTTTTCTTGGGGAGTTTCTGAAAAACCTCACTATTTGCCTCTATAGCACATGTACGTCAATATCCTGCTCTCATTCGGAAATATGATTTGATTATCATCTTATCCAGAGATAGCCTTTTTCTGTACTTCGTTTAAGGCTTTGATAACTTTGATTCGCTCACTAAGGCACGTTTATAATCCGGCAACTGGTAGCTGCAATACGTGACAGCAGAACCTCCCCCATATTTCTGTGAGGTGACCAGACGGCTGTTCATGGTACTGAAGACAGGGAAGCTCTCAGTCTCTTTACAGGAAAAGCCACACTAGACCTGTGCTGGAGAAGTGTGCTGGGGTTGACCTTACAACATAAAGGTTCCACATTTAACGGAAACGGGTTTGTGCATGCAAATCTCAGG